GCCCAGCCACTAGACTATCATAAAGAGACATGTTTGCTGAGTTAGCTATATATACAGTAACTTTTAAATCCTTGAAAAGTTCTATAAAAACTAACTTTCAAAGGTTTTCCACAGTTCTGTGGCATCACAGTGGGTATGGCATTGGAATAGTTTCTTAGAAATGCTTTATATGAGACATCAGTAGATTTTCTGTTTTTTTAGTTTATTATGTATTTGCATATTTAATTACATAGGCACATATTAGTCCAGTTGTTTCTGTCTGCTTCATAATCCTGTACAAAACTATTTTGACGTACCATGCATTTGTAGAGTACATATTAAAATATATCAAGGGTAATACCTACCTCACTGTTTTGATCTTTATACAATAATAACTATTTAATGTGATGTGTGACTTAATGTAATAGAGAAAGTTGAGAAAATTATTGTACCAATAAGTTACGATCTGTTGTTCTGAGCATCTGTTTTGCGAAAATTGTAGAGGTAAATGCTGCTTTTAAATGTGATTTGTAATTCTCTGTATGCTGCTCACCATATTAAAGGAAACAAATCACATTTTTAAGTATCTGAGACCAAATGCTTATTTCATATTTTCTCTTTTTTTCCCCATGTCTCTGCAGAAATTTATGATGAAGGTAAGCAAGCTAAAAGTTTAGTATTGTATTTCATATATATTAATTAATTGGTTTTCCAATTTATTTATTTTTAGAAGTAAACATCAAACTTTCAGAAGTCCTGAAATTTTTGGTTTCAGAAATCATACCAACTTAAGTTAGGTTTTTTAATGAGCATGAAGGGGCGCTGGCAGACCTAGTGAACAAACTAACGTGATAGTATTTCAAGAGCTTTAGCAGTAGTAGATGTTTGTCCAATTTTTTTAAATGGTGAAACAAAGAACTTCTCTAACTAAAATGCATGTTTGTAGAATTTGAACAGATACTATCTGGTGCATTTTATGATTTGATTTTCTACATTTGATGCTTCCATTATTTTTTATATTATCTCTGGTTTACTCTGGGTCAGGTTCTTTGGTTCTCAGTTAGGCCTTACACAATCAATGGGACTAGGATAATGCAGGATTTGGTATGTAATACATTTTCAAGCAATCCCCAGATAATAAATGTTCCAAAAAACATAACCAAGGGTATTGCAAGCAAGGCTGACACATTCTGCTTTCCATGTACCTAGAATGCTGGCAGAAAGATTTGATATCCATAATAGGATGGCTTAGTCTTTCTATGGGTTGGCATTTGTACCCCTCATATATCCTGCTAGTATATGCTCCTGGCATTTGAGTACTTTAATTCTGGAAGCCTTTTAAAAATTTTTGAAGGAAGTAATGTTTTAAATATTTTGAAAAAGTATTCTGAACCCTGAAAAAATTTAGTTTGTATTCTTTGATTCAGGCAAAATGTGTTGGTTGTCAGATTGATAACCTCTCAGGCTAGGTGCAGATGTTCAGAGTGCATAGGAGGAGGTTAGATTGTGTTTAAAAATGGACACCTGATCATAGTTTGCCTAGGTGTAGACCTTATACTTAGATCCCTTGTTAGCTTCATCTAAGTATGAACTGTACAGAAATTCAGGAAGGTTAGAGCAGTCTAAAAATGGTTGTCCTGATCTAAGTTAACCCTGTCTTGGAGGTAGTCTAACTTAGATTGGGTTCAGTGAGTCTGATTTATCTCAACTTATCTACAGTTTCCAGTGCAGCCCCAGTTCCCAGTCACTGGTTCCAGTCCTGGGGATGAGCTTTTCGTAATGTTCTCCACACCCTGGCACTGGGTTATTTTTGCCCCCTGGCCCCTCCCTCCACAAATAACCCCTCACCATGGGCCAGCCAACTCTCCTCCCTCAAGCCTGACAAACCCCACAACCTGCAAGCTGCTCCTGGTGCCAGTTTTACTGGCATTCGCTGGTTCTAGGAGCTGATGGAAGTAAGTCCATCAGTTAGGGGAAAGGGTGAGTGGGATTGGGGAGTTGGCTTATTGAAGGGTGGGGTAGGTCAGGAGGGGACTAAAAGTAGCCCCTGGTCTCAAAGGGGGAGAACCCTACTGGTCTGCCTGCACCTTCATGCATCCTGACTTACTTCAGTCAAGCTACTGGGACTGGTGACCATCTGTAAAACTGGCCCTAGGAGCAGTTTATGGGACTGGGGAAAGTTTGGTGTCATCAGAGGTGGGGGGGGTGGAATTGAGGCGGGGGTTGGCAGGATTGGAGAACCTCTCCAATCCTGCCAACTCGCCCTCCCACGATCTCTCCGACCCCCCACACTGACCTCACTAGCCCCTCTAATCCTTGTAAACCCTGCCAGATCCCAGTAACTCCCCTGCAGACCCTGCTAGACCCCCTGATCTCCCAACCCCCCCACCAACTCTGTGTACCCCATGATTCCCCCAAGCCCCTCTGCTAGCCCTGAGCTTACCTTAGATTGGATGGTTATTTTTACCTCAGTCTAACCTTCCCCTAACCTCCCCGAATGTATGTACCCTCAATGGGAATCTCTGTCTCCAATTCATCTGGCTACTGATTTGTTCAGTTATTTATTTATCCTCCTTGAAGCAAGTGATATTCTCTTAAAATGGATAATTCAGTACATCATAAAGGCATACATACTCATATCCTGGATCGACAGCACATTCCCCTATCTCTTGGCTCTATATCAACAGCTATAGGCTGGACTAGTCTCTGCTCCTTCTTGCTGATATGCTCACTAATTCTTCTCCAGGCACCTTTTGTCTACTCAGTTTTTACCCTCTAAATTATCAGTGTAGGACTGTTGCAGATAACTTCTGCACGATGTATGGGGAATGAAGAAATAGCCCTACTGCTTGCTGATTCCTGCACATGCTGAAACAGCCCAGAAGAATTTGCAGATCCTGTGCACCATTGACCAAGGGAGCATTCCAAGCAAAACATGCAGTGTTTTTTATATCAGCCTCCAGGGCTGAGTTTAAGGATGACAGATGAATTTGCCCAGTGCAACTCTTCTCTATTGATCCATCTTTTCCTCCCACCGAGCTGTCTGTCTTATTCCTTATCTGTGAGTCTCTTCCTCAAATGACAAGGATGATTCACATTTTCCACATCACGCAGTAACTAAAAATGCTTCCCCATAATCTTTAGCCTGTGAAAAATATCCCCCTTCTCCACTTACTTTGCTTTTAAACAGCTAAGTGGATTTTTATTAATCCCCCCTCCCATACGCCTCCAATCTTTCTCTCTCTTTTTAAAGACAACACACTAACAAATGAAGGAAAGAAAAAGGGAAAAAAGAGGCAAAATCATCCCTAGGCTAAGGAAGAAGAATGAGATATGTATTTTTTGGGGGGGTAGTGTTTTCCAGAATGTTATGGGTGCTTGAAAATAGGGTTTTTATTTATGGCTGACACAGCACTTCCATTGTAAATATATATATCTGTTTTATATACAATGCTGTAAGTAGAGAATCAATATTCTAACGTGCTGTTGATGTATTCCTCATTTACTGGATTATCTTTTTTATTCAAAGATCTCTGGTGTTGGGGAAAATAGACATTTACTTACAGAGATGTTAATCACGAGGTCAGGTTTCACATCTGTAATGTGCTTCCAGCTAATAGGCTTATTCATGCTGCTTTCTAGCAAATCAGTATGATCAAAATCAGACCATTTAACTTGAATCAGACCATTGGGCGTAAATGTTTGCGATTATTACCAATGATTCCAGTCTCTTTAATGGAGACTAAAAAATATCTTCTTGTTCTTAATGAAAAGTATGCATGCAGCTTATTTAGTTAGCTGCCTGATGCAGTTAGCATCAGTGTTTTGATTAAGATTCCCAGGTCCTTGAACTATAGCTCTTAAAACAGGTCTTCCTGAAGAAGCTTGGCTCACTGAGTAATCCGAAAACTTGATACTTATACTAGTGTAGTTGTACTTTGTTTGTGATCTTCAGTATTGCACAAGGTAGATATTGACTGACAGCGTGTCTGAATTCTTTTAGTCTCTAGTATGTTTAACCTCTCAGTTAAACTCTTAAATTTGAGTTGAGTTTAATTTTAGTCAAGGAATATCTATAGATATCTATATATATTTATAAGTTTTTTTTGGCTCACTAGCTATCATTATCTGCAGAGTGAGTGTCCTTAAAGTCTAACATAAGAGCTACTATTTAGTGGGTCAAACTGTAGGCCATCTTGCCTAGTATCTTGTGTCACAGTGGCAGAGAGTAATGCTGAAAAAGAGCATGAACAGGGCTTTTTCCACTTTTCCTCTCCCACTTACCACCTCCAGCATTTGGGGCCTAGGAAATTGTGAGATTGTGTTCCTGACTCCCATGCTTAATAGCTACTGATGCACCTTACCTGCAAGAATTTGTCCAATCCCTTTTTGAATCTGGCTAAACTGTCAGCCTCCTCATCTTGTGGCAATGAGTTCAACATTTTAATTACAGATTGTGTTAAAAAGCATTTTCTTTTGTTAGTTTTAATCTTACTACTTACTAGCTTCATTTTATAGCTCCTAGTCCTTGTATTGGGAGAGACAGTAAATAATAAATTCCTATTTACTTTCTCTATCCTGTTTAGTATTTTGTAAATCTTGCAATGTTTACTTTTAAGACATCTTTCTGAATTGAATAGGGCTAGCTTCTTTAGTTTCTTGTCTTATGAAAGCCTCTGTGTACCACTAATCATCCTTGTTGCTGTTCCCTGTACCTCCTCTAGTTCTTCTATATCTGTTTTGAGTTGTGGGGACCAAAACTGGGCATAGTATTCAAGATGTGAACCCACCATTAATCTATAAAGGGGGATAATAATACTTTCTGTTTTGTTTACAGTCCCTAACATTTTGTTTGCCTCTGACAGCTTCTGATCACTGAGCTGGTCTTTTAAGTGAATGGTCTACAGTGACTCTCAGATCTCTTTCCTGTGTGGTAACAGCTAATATACAGCCCATCATAGATAGTGTAGGTATAGTTTGGGGGTTTTTTTGGTTAGATGCATCACTTACCTAAATTAAATTTCCTCTGCCATTTAGTTGGCCATTTGCTCAATAGTGCCAGATCCTTCTGCAATTCTTCACAATCTGCCTTTGTCTTGACCACTTTGCATGCTTTTGTGTCATCTGCAAATCTGGCCATCTTGCTACTCACCCAGGTTTCCAGATCATTTATGAATGTGTTAGATAACACCGGTCCCAACACAGATATCCCATAGTGTACTTTTTTCCATCCTGAAAACAGACCAGTTATACTCACTCTTTGTTTTCTACCTTTAAGCAAATATTTGGACCTTCCCTGTAATCCTATGACTACTTAACTTCCTTAAGAGCCTCTGATAGGAGGACTTTGTCAAAGGATTTTTGGAAGTCCAAATATACTGTCAACTTGATCAATGTCATCTACCTGCTTATTGACACCTTCAAAGAACTGTTGTGGGCTGGTGAGGCACGATTTCCCTTTGACAAAGCCATGTTGATTCTTCCCCAGCAAGTCATGTTCATCTGTATGCTGAACAATATATATATTTTATTATTATTGTTTCTACCAGTTTTACATAAACAGAAGTTAAACTCACTGGCCTGTAGCTTCCTGGGTCCCCGCTAGAGCCTTTTTAAGATGTGAGAAATCACATTGGCAGTCTTCCAGCCCTCTGGT